AGACTAAATCTGAACTATAGTTGGAACTACTATATAGTATAAATTATAACTATAATCTGAATTATTTACAGGACTATAAACTGAACTATAATCTAGACAATAGGAGTATACTTTGAACTTTAGTCCGGAATGAAATATAGTCTAAACTACAAATTTGACTAAAGTCTAAGCTATAGGTTGGACTATAGCTTAAATTTGGACTATAGTTTGTACTAAAGTTTGAAGTTTAGTCAAGACTTATTTGGACTAAAGTCTAAACTATAGTTTGGACTTTAGTTTTAACTTTAATCTGGACTATAGACTGTATTATAGCTTGAAGTGTAGTCAGGACTATAGTATGAACAAAATTTTGGGATATATTTTTAACTATATTCTGTCAGAACTATAGTATAGACATTAGTCTGGACTTTGAAATACTTATATGTTGAACTAAATTCTGGATTAAATCTGAGCTATAGTCTATACTACGTTCTCAACTACAGTCTAAATTATAGTGTGCAATATAATCTGGAGTTTTGATAACAGGTTTCGTGAAAATAAATCTCTTGGCAACCCTGAAGAAAGTACATTATTTGTACGAAATCACATAGTTGGCAAATCAATGACCCCAATAAATAAAGATTAAAAAAGTTCAAGCCTTTTAAAATTATTAAAATTGTTTCCCCGTCAACTGAATTTATAGTTAAATCTAAATAAAAATTAATTAATTGTAAACAAATATTGTGAACTCAAAACGCAAAATAACTCAAAAAGTATTCAACTTTTTCAAGGTTAGAAATTCAAAATATACAGTATTTAAAATTTACTACACTGAAACTCAATATACCTATTGCAATTATTTCAATACAAACTTATTTATAGGAGTATAAAGAAATCATTTTATACTACATATGAATTTACAAATTAAAGTCATTGACATTATTTACACATCATTTATAGACTTCAAGGAAAATTACATAAATAAAATAAAAAAATAAATTAAGCTCTCTCGTAAACGAAATGTTTTGAACAAAAAAAAAAGTGGCAACAAATTGTAATTGAGTCATAAATTAAAAATGATGGCGAGACAAGTAAATAAGCACGTTTTGAAGTGCATACGACAAACGATTCATTTCATACTAGAAGTACATACATAAATGCTATCATAAATATGTACATACCTAAGATTTGTACATAAAAGTGCAAATTAAAATGCATTTCTGCTCATTTATGTTTCCCTTTAATTGTTTAAACAAAACAAAGTATGTATATTGAAAATAGTGTCCATACACACCTCAAATATCAAATATCTGCTGTTTTGCAAAATAACAGCTACACCTAATTATACCACAATCAAAAATACAACTCTGTATGAGTTGCTGTCATAACAATATTAATCATACGTCACATGTGACACTTGCTCACATGTAATGTATTAACATGTTTCTTTAATTAAATAAGGTCATAGCTAATTAAATTTAAACAAATATTTTCATAATTAATTAATTTTCATATGATTAATGTTTTTTAGCTTAAATTGTTTATTATTTTTTTATGGCTTTCACATTGTCAAAAATGCTCAACCTAATTGTTGCTACATACTAAATGGCAACAATTTAAAGTGAGACAGGGGCACAGCCGCCCCATTTTAGAAAATTGTTGGGGATTATAGTCAGCAGAATAACATCATAATTATAATGTTAGCGCCATATCGAACCCTCCTAAAAATGTGTTCTGTTTGGCATTTTTTTATTGTTTTTGTTTCGAATAAAATTGGTCACCACTAAACAATAAATAACAGAGTTGCCATGGGTTTTAATATAGATAATCAAAAATAAATAATTTAAGAATTTTAGATTTTTGGCATTTCGTTTGACATAAAGTTCGAAATATTAAAATCAAATTATAAAACTTTAAAATGATCATTAAATATTACGAATTTTATAGGAATTCAATGTTTGTTGCAGCACGTATTGAAATAGTTGAAGGTCTATTTCATAGTTCATTCAAATTATTAGAATTTTCTTTGAAATATGATAAAACTCTTGCAAACGTTTTTTAAATGAACAATTTCCATACTCTTTAGCGATTTCACACACTATTTTGGCAACTCTTAAGTAAAACTCATCACTTAGCTTGTGCCAAAATCCGCCACAGTTTTTTCCTTTGTATTATAAATTAGCATTTTAAATACACTGACAAAAAAATGTTTCATAGTACAAAGAAAAATAAACACATTAGAAAAATATTGAACAAAAAGTTGTTGCTCTAAATTTCCTTTGCACAGTGTTTAATTGAAACTAAAAACAAAACAATAAATAGAAATATTTTAACTACAACAATAACAAAAAACCGTTTTGCTTTTAAAAGAATTCTTTCTAAAAACAAATTTAATCATTAAATTCATTTATTAAAACTGAAAAAATTTCCATTGATTCGTAAACATATTTTTATTTCATTCGTTTTCTCTTTCCTTCTCTCTCAAACTTTTGACACATGATTTATTATATATTTTTATTTTTATGAGTAAGTTTAAAAATAAACTGTATGTATACATGTCCTCATGCATATATTTTATACATTATATGTATGTATGTATGTTTGTATGAATATATGTATAGTTTATTGTTTGTATTTCAATAATAACAAATAAAATTCATGCCAAGTTTTAAGTATTATTGTACAGAATTTGTATCAAATTAAAAAAAAACAACAACAAAAGCTAAATAAAACGTGTTTATTTTGAATTTTTGGACAACTCATGTGAACGAAAAAACGTGTTTATACAATAAATGAAATACACTTAAAGTTTTTTTTACGATGTTTATTTTTTCAAAATCATTGTACATGCAGAGTTGAGTCAGAAAACATTTTTTTGCATGCATAAAATATTTGATTTAATAAAAACTTTTGATTGTTTTGGGGGTTCTATGAAATCATTCGATAGGCTACAAATTTACTAAGGGCCAATCTTTAGGTGAAAAATTAGAGATTAAATTAAAATTAATCCTCGAAAGATGTTTTTGAGTACTCAATTAGTTAATTTTGTTTGCAAGTTTAAGCGCCCAATGGAGGTGGTTTAATCTTAAGCACGAAATGCAAAAGTGTAAACAGCTGATGCAAAAAAATTAATAAAATTTTTATAAATATAAACATTAAAATGTTCTATTTATTGATTAGTATAAATTATGGACACTTCAAAATACATTTTTTTGTTTTTAATTTAAGTTTTCATTCATTTTCATATTAAATTTACAATTGTCTTCTTCTTTTTTTATAAAATATGCATTGTTTTGATAACAAACAGTGAAGTTTTCTGTTGTTTTGTATGGCATCACTGCGAAGTTTAATCTTGTACTGAAAAACATCAAAGGGGATTAACATAAGATTAAATTTATTTTTAGATTAACTAATCTGATTATTAATTGGCATTTGATTACCATCTCAAAAACCCGCTCTAATTGTAATTGTAACTCTCTCTTCTCTGTGTAGGAAAAAATCTACTTAAAATGAAAACATTTTAATGGCAAAATTAAATTCCACAAAAATATTGATTTGTACTGGTTTTCGCAATTTCGAAATAACTTCGAATTTTCGAACAAAACAAAACAGAAACCTAAAAAAATCTAAAAATATTTATAGAATTCTTAAGTTTCTTAAATTTGTAAAATTAAATTTACAAGAAAATCTTAATCTGTCTGTCCGTGTGTATGTTGAAATCGGTTTTCAGAAGAATCTAGATATTTGCTTGATCTTAATCTTCCATAATTCTATCAGGCACACTTTCAAGAAGATGGCTACTTAAAATCAGTAAAATCGGTCCATAAATAACGGAGATATAAGCAAAAATCCAAGACAACCTCTGAAAATTCCAGAAAAAATTGAAATTTTTGTGAATGCTTTGATAAAAATGTACTTTTTCGTTCTTTAACTGGTACTTTTTCAGTTTTCTATAATATTGAACCTATAAATATGAAATTAGACATGTAGAAATTTGATTAATCATTAAAAATTATGTTTTTTTTTAACATATATAACTTTAACATTAATTTATTTTTAATTTTACAACATTTATGAAATTGTATAAATATGAAAATTAAATATTAATTTAATTGGTCCTTAAAACGAGCATTTATCTATGTATTCTGAAATTATATATCTATATAGTATGTATGTATAGTCGAAAAAATTTTAAGTGAAAATAATTATTTCAGTTTTTCAAAAACCAACGGGTATGTTTTAATTTTTTTTTCAAAAAACTACAATATTTTATTGAATTAATTCATAAACTAAGAAAACAATTTTCTGGCCTTTAGACAATAAATATAATAAAATATATAGACTGAGCTAGAGGCAACTAATTTGATTTCTTAGCGATTTGGCACACACTTGTGGTGTATTAAAATTATTTTATAATATATATTTTTTTCGAATTCTTCTTTTTTTATTTCTAACACACCTCGAGCGGGGGTATGGTTCCAAAAAGGTATAAATGAAAAACTGAAAAACAAAATAACCCGAAGGGCTTAACGAACAACCCTTAACGGTGCTCCCTGATGTCAGTTCTTAGCACTCGTACACAAACCTATACATATCAATTGAGACATGAGGCTTCCACTAAGGCCCTGGTGTTAAAGCTGAGCCAAAATAAAAGAGAAATTATTGAAAGAATCAGTGTCTGTGTCTGTACAGAGTGTGTATAAGTGTGCATGTCTCCTGAGAGCGCCTTCTCCCCACCCGCAATGCCTTTTTTTTAAACATAAACAATATTTACTTTTATTTAGTTGTAGTTTTATTATTTAATCTAAATATTTAATTAAAATTTATTAATAAACTTGTTTGAAAAAGAATTTAAACTAAAGTATTTTTGTTCTTCCTTTATTTCTCTTTTTCCATAAACAACCAAATAAAAAACCAAATATCAAACCACTTCTTTCACTTCAAATCCAAATAAAAAAAAAACAAAATAAAATTCCAAACCAAACCAAAAAAAAACCAATCAATCCATTTATTATAAACAGTGAGGCAGCAGTATCCAGTTTTCCTTATTGTACAGAATCTAGTTTAAATTTTTCAACAAATGCCACCGCCTACAGCGAGGATGATGCAGAATATGCCACCGGAAGACGTAATAAAACCTCGAGGGTAAATATTTTTTATATAAAAACAAAAACGAACACACAAATTCTCTAATATTTAAGTTTGTTACATAAATATTTTAAACGCATTAAGTATGTCGGTTTTGAAATTAAAATTTTAAACACAACAAAAAGCACCATCACCTCTACACACTGGATCCAGGTTACAGGAGATCAATCGTTTTATTTTGGGAGAGGAACAACAACTTATACATAGACAAAAATGTTCTGCATCATCGCACCTTAATTAAATATTTTAAACCAACATACATTTATATTATAATAAATATTTTATTAAATAATAATATTAAAATATGTATTTATTTTTCATTAAACTAATATTTTGATGACTATGACTGACGTATGTATAGACTTAAAAGACGGATTAACATTAGACTGTATTATCACAATACCAATTTAAGAATTTCTATTAATTTTGAAGAAAATTTTTAAGGATTATGGGCCTTATGCATAATCATTTATAATTTTATTAAAAATTTGGTTAATAATTTTCAAAATTTTGAACTTGACTTTTGTTAGTATTTGATAAAAAGTTTAATTATTGCCCATAACTTGACTGTTGAGTCTTAATATGATAAAATGTCAACATAGAAGCTGAAAAACCCGACAAGTCCAAAAAAAAACTCTACAAAAAAACCTAAACACTAGACGTAGACATACTTTGGACCTAGCAAATTATGTATTTATATGTACTAATACATTAGTTTAAGAGGTAATTGGTACTTAAATAAGTTATAACTTTTAATTTAGTTCTAACCATTAATTAGTATAAATATACATACATATTTGAATTTTTAATTAATTTTATTTTATTTTTCTTCTTTTCTTTCCATCTTTGCTCCTTCTTCCACTTTCGTTTTCATAATCATTTTCATAAAATTTCATTCATTAGCAAGATCCGTTGTCACATCGTATTATTGAAAAGAGACGACGAGATCGGATGAATTCATGTTTGGCCGATTTGTCACGCCTAATCCCACCGCAATATCAACGTAAAGGGCGTGGTCGTATTGAAAAAACTGAAATCATTGAAATGGCCATACGTCATCTGAAACATTTACAAAGTGAATGCCTGCAGAAGGACAATGAATATCGTATGGGCTATACGGATTGTATGAAAGAGGCGGCAAAATTTCTATACGATAGTCAAATGCAAGAATTCTGCTATCGTCTATTGGCACGCCTACAGGAACATTGTGATGAGATCATGAAAAGTAGGTTTTTTTTAGAAATGGTATAATAAAAGAATTTATAACAATTGTATTTAATTTTTCAGATGATTGTTTCCGTAATCGTGGCGGTTGTCATGCGTCCGATAATGTAAGTGCTTCTAGTGGTAGTCCACATCAAACGTTTCATCCGGTGCCACCCTTATGCCAATTACGTGATATGTTGGGTACTTCCGACATTGAGCACAGTAACGATCACAATGATGTAAAAGATCTCAGTTTTCGCAATCACATTAATCAATTGCAGCGCAATGTTAATGTCACCCAAATGGATACGAATGCCAATGATGGTCATGGCATTGCCAGTGTAACTAATAATACAAACAATAACATTTCTAGTAATTCTACTACAACGGCTTCGACAGTTACTGCTAATAATCCCACAAGTTCGTCAACAACGTCTGGTAATTTGAGTGTTAGTTCAGCGGCACAGCAGCAACCACAACAACAGCCTCATCAAGCTCCCGTTATTACCTCAACTGCTCCAGCTTCCCTGCATCATCACACAGACTCTAGTAATCATGATTTCGATTCTTCCCGAGAGCCCATACTACACACTGATACTTCAAATATGCATTCACCACCCCCGCGCGATACACTACTCTCCAGCCATCATCATCATCACCATCATCTCAATAATACACATGCTCACTTGGGCCATCACCAGGACAGCATGCTGCAGGGACGTTTACGCAATTACTCCGAGTCATCGCATGATATTGAGCACAACAATAACTACAAGTACAAAAATCACATTAAGGAACGTTTCAATCATGAACTGCACGACGAGGAGACATCCAGTGAACACGGTCCTGCCCCGCCTTTATTGCAAAGCGAAAATTCACATGCCCATTCCGAACATTCTAAGGATGGCACTGAGCCCGAGATTGCACCCATTATTGCCAAAAAACGTAAATTGGCTGAAGCTGCCAGCAGTCACAATGACAGCACTACCGATGATGCAGATGTACGTGTCGCTCCCTCCTCAAGAACCAACAACATCAACCTGTTGAATTCAGTGACCAGAGATGAGAAGCCCTTTGGACCTTTTAGTGACATTAAAACTGAGGCCTCCACCGGTCCGCTCATACACAATAAAACCCATTTAAGTGCTCCCACCAGTACCACCGCCCCACTGCCGGCTCGTAGCTTTGCTGTGCCCATCTTTGCTCTACACAGCCAAGGCACCTATTATGTGCCCCTCAATGTGGACTACAATGTACTGATACCCTTCCTCAATGGTGTCGATTTATTGGAAAAGAATTTTACCTCAATGCCTGTGGTGCATCCCATTAATATTAATGTCAACTTCATGCCCACCACCTCAGCTTCTCTCTTGGCTGTGGCTGCAGCAGCAGTGGCGGCCGGTAAGCAACAGCAGCAACAACAACAACAGCAATCGTCCACAGTACTAAATGGTTCTGTGGCCACAGCAGCCGCCAATGCAGTGGCTGCGGTAGCTAAAGCCAAATTTGAAGCCATAACAAATGTTGCAAACGGTTGGTGAATAAAATATTTAAATGCATTATTTTTTCTTATAGAGAAAATAAAAAAATCATAACTCAACAAATTGAATACGAATTTCAATTCAATTTTATTCATATTTTCACTGGAAAAAGCCACACCATCACCAACTACTGGGCTGGGCAGCTTCTCCAAATAATATCGAAAATTGAATTGAATTTTTTTTTTTTACAAAAAACTACCACAACAAACTAATATTATTAGTAACACTAAATAGAAAAACATGAAAATGAAATGGAACTACCTCAGAATGCTGTGAAAATAATCATATAATGGTTTTTTATAGCTAGAATCTAAAAAGGAAGGTACATATTGTATGTATTTGAAACACACAAACAAAAAAAACTCTAAAATATTCAATTATACTCTAACTCCTTACTACAATGGGCGTTAATATGCCATTGCAAAATCGCTTGGTAGACCATATTTTGCAATTGTAGCGAAGTATAATAAAATGATTTAAAAACTATTTTTATCTCTTTTTCATCATGTTTTTGATGTGGTTCTATAAAATACAATTAAAATATGGCTACTAAAAAGATTCATTCATATGGTCCGTTCGATTGATTTTGAGATATTGCTAAAACTAGAATTTGTCACTTTTGAATAAAAAGAAAAATTGATAAATTTTTGTTTTTGATGACATGTTTATAAACATTGTTGCGGACACTTTGCTTCTTAAAGCTCTAAGTTGCAATATAACGTTTTAAAGAGATTTTTTTTGATTGATCAATTAAAAACGTTAAGAAAAATCCTCCTGTAAGTTTGGCATTTATCAAAGTAAATTAATAAAGTAGCGACACGAGTTGTTGTACAACAAACGTCTACAAAAACCACAGGCAATTTGTTTTTGTTCGAAATACTCACTTGTCAAAATTTGTTTACAAAAATGAACCAATAATTAATGGAAAATATGGCATTATTGTTGTACTTTCCAAAAATATGTTGTTATTTATATTAAAAGTCACAGAGTTTTCTTTATTTTTTAAAAATTAGAACATTTTTAAAAATATTATACACTTAAAATACACTTTTTCACATTAAATACAACAAATTACTCAGAAATTTGTACAAAAGCAAGCGTTAAAATGAAAACAAATATGGCAACATAAACATTTTTGACAAGTAAGTCCACAAATAGCAAGTTTAAAAAAAATAGTCAGCTGTTCAAATGAGTTTACTTTATAAATTTACTTTGGCATTAATGACGTTTTTAAACATGGCGGCATAAACATAAAGCTATCACAATGTTTCTGTTTAAATTATTATTGATTGATCAATAATCTATTGCTATTTTAACACGTTAGAAGATCCTAAAAGTGACAGTTGCAAAGTTAAAGGCGCTTTTAATTTACACCATTTTGAAAACGGTGCTAAAGCTAAAACACGAGCGTAGGCCGGATCTACTATGTGCAAGTTTTTAGAAAATGTTTTTAAATATTCGTTTAGATTTTCTAAGAATACGACTGAAATTAACTTTAAGCTGGAAAAAAACTTTCAAAATTTTAATAGCGTTTACACAAATACAAATATTTTTATAAAAGAAAAGAAAAAAATGTTTCAATAAAACCACCGATTTTGTTTATTTATTCAATAAAACTAAAGATTTGGCATTTAGTGTAAACGCTGTTAAAATGTTAATGTTTTTCTAAATATGGCAAATAATTTAATTAAATAATTACTAATTCTCTAAAGAAATGTATTTAAAAAAAGAATTAAACAAATTCGGCTGGGCCGAATCTAATAATACCCTCTACCTATTTACAATGTGAAATATATTTAAGTTTTAAGCAAAATTTTAAAATTTAAGTAGCTAAACCTAGATTATTTGTCAAGTTTAACAGTTTTCTTTTATATTAAAACGTTTTTTCGCTGTTTGGTTTATTTATTTAGCTAGAATGTTGGTTCAAACTGTTTTCAAATCTGTGGATCCAACAAGACTGATTAAAAATAAATAGAAATTTGCCAAATGGTGCAGACATTATAGTAGGTAAAGGGTATTTTGTAATCCAAAAAGATTGAAAAAATGTTGAAGATTTCAAATATCAACTATATAATTGAAATTTTAATAAAATTCAATATTAATTAATTAAACATAAGCTATAAGTTTTTTTTGTTATAAAAAAATGTTCAATAAATTAGTTTATGCTTTGTACCTGTTTAAAAAAAAAAGTACTATTTAAAATAATACTTTTTGTTATAATTTATATAAAATAAAAAAATTTTGAAAAAAATAAAATTGGTGTTATTAAAAATTTATTTATATTATGCATTCCTTAAAAGCATATAAAATATTTAAATATGGCCAAAAACTGTATAAACAAATATCTAATTAAAATAAACTATAAAATTAATTAAATAAAAATAACTAACAGCACAAATATGTTTTGTTTTTTTTTTATTTATGGTATTTTACGTAACTACTTTTAAATATTGAATATTATTAAAATTTCATTAAAATTTATTAAAAAAAAATTTTTTATCAAACATTTGTAAATAATTTTTGTTACAAAAACCTCTATATTTACACTGAAAGAAATAAAAACAACATAAACTTTATATAGATGTTATTAAATGTTGTAATTGTTAAAAAGTAAAAAAAATAATCCAGCAGTTTTATTAGTGTCTAAAATTTAAACAAATTAAATCTTTATAAAAGATTATAAATTAAAATAAAAACAATAACTAAAAAAAGAAAAACTTAAGAAAATTACTAGTCATAAACTGCGTTATTAACCCTGTTTATTTCTTATTTTTTTTTAATTGTGTTTAATAATATTTTTTCAAATTTATAGTTATTTAAAATATTTTAAAAATCTTAAAAAAAACAAAATTTTTACTACATCTGTACGTAAATATAACAAATTGTTTCGTTTCTTCGTTAAGTTTGTCTTATTTGTTGTAAGCTTTAAGTTAATTACAAAAATTTCTTAATTTTATATTTAATAAAAACTATTAAAACTATACTTTAAATACTACTCTAACTACTATTATTAAATTTATAAATTACTTTTTTTTCTATTATATTATTATTATTCTCATAAGCTATTTTTTAAGTAAATCTTTTTTTAAATTTTAGTTACAATACTATAAAAATCGTTAAGTTTAGTTAGATTATCCAATAAAAAAGAATATTATTTTTAACAAAAACTGTATTGTATTTTAATAATAGTTAAATAATTAAAAGAAATCAACAAAAAAAAATAATAAAAAAAACTTTATATTGAATGTTAAAAAAATTGGTGGTTTTGCTTTAAAGATGAGTTTAAAGGTGATGTATACGTTTTTATTATTCTTATTTAAATATTTGCTTTATTTCCTTCCAAAATTGGATATTTCAAAACCCGATAAAATATTCCTTAAATCACTGTTTCATTAAGAGCGGATTTTTGAGATGGTAATCAAATGCTGCCAATTAATAATCATATTAGTTAATCTAAAAATAAATTTAATCTTATGTTAATCCCCTTTGATGTTTTTGAGTACAAGATTAAACTTCGCAGTGTTGCCATACAAAAGAACAGAAAACGTCACTGTTTGTTATCAAAACAATGCATATTTTATAAAAAAGAAAAAAGTCGAAAAGTCGGAAAAAGTCGAAAATAGTCGAAAATTTTAAAAAAGTGGAAAAGAGGTCCAAAACTCTAAAATAGTCGGAAAAACTCGAAAAAAGTAAAAAAAAAGTCGAAATAAGTCGAAAATAGTCAAAAAGTCGTAAAAAATCGAAAAGTCGGAAAAAGTCGAAAAGTCGAAAAAAGTCGGAAAAAGTCGAAAAAAGTCGAAAAAAGTCGGAAAAAGTCGAAAAGTCGGAAAAAGTCGAAAAGTCGACCATTTATAAAATATTAAAAGTCGAAAAGTCGACTTTTAAATAAATGAAAAAGGTCGAAAAGTCGAAAAATCGACTTTTCATAACATGGAAAAAGTCGAAAGGTCGAAAGGTCGAAAAGTCGACTTTTAACTAAATGCAAAAAGTCGAAAAGTCGACTTTTCGTTTCAACTATAGAACCCTAGTTTAAACCACCTCCATTGGGCGCTTAAACTTGCAAACAAAATTAACTAAATGAGTACTTAAAAACATCTTTCGAGGATTCATTTTAATTTAATCGCTAATCTTTCACCTAAAGATTGGCCGTAAATATAAAAAGGTCTTATCAAAGTTCTTTCAATTTTCCAATTCCGCAATATTTGATGAGCTGGATTAAAGGATGAAAAGGGTCTTTTTAAGGTTTTCATATACCCTTCACTATAGAGTGTTTAAGAAACTGTCAATATGTATTTTATTACATAAAAATACCAGTTGGTAAACAAAAATGTACCAGAAAGTCCACTTTTATGACTATTCATTCAATCAGAACGCTGTAGGTTAAATTCTGTTGGTTTTTCTTGGAGGACGGACCTTTAAGAACAACATTCATGCGGCAAACTAAAACCGCTGTATTGATGGCGTCTCTATGAATGTCGTTCAAAGCTGCTGTATACGATTTACAATCCAAGGGATCCTGTAGATATATATCTTCGTCTGCTCTCCTCATGTACACGAACATGCCTCGGGAGAGCATTCAACTGTGTAATGTTAAAGTTGGGATGACTTCTCCGGTGTCATCTGAGAAGGAACTGTTTATTAATCTTGACATTATTTTCCTTGACTGGGAGGACCTTCGTAAAGGAGGTAAACAGGCTTTCAAAGATGACTGTATGTAATATAACTTCCACACCTTGTGAAGGTGTGGGAAATTTATAGAGATAAAAGTAAAACAGTAGGTGGATAGGACACTTGTTCAACTCCAGGGGTTTTTGAATACTTGTCTCTAAACTCAATGAACTACTGACGATCACTCATATAATTCACCATCTATCTCTTACAGTTGTTGGGCATGGTTGACAGCAGGATATCCTTGAATATTGTGGTATGGCTGACTGTATCGAAGGTCTTCGATAAGTCCAACGCCACTAGGAGTGTCCTATAACAAAGCCTCTGCTGATTTAAACTAAGTGGTTATGGCAGCTTCGGTAATTTTAGTTTGTAGCCCAGGCGTTTTCCCTATAAAGTTTGAAGCAAAATAACATTAGGTGGCTAATACGATCCAATTTATTGCAGCAAAGTGTTCAACAATTATTAAATTTATGTGTGAATAAGTGATTTTTTTTAATTTGTTAATATCCTTAAACATTTTTTTAACCCCCCGCCATAACGAAAAAAATAAAACAATTTTAATTTTTATACATCAAAAAATGAACTTCATTAAGAATATATTTTTTGAATTTTTATTAATAAGATTTAAATCACTACATTTAAATGTAATATGGTTTTAAATAGTATTTGAGTTTAATTAGGTTTTATTTATTTATTTTTTTTTTTGTTAATTTTTTTTTTTTTAGATTTTTTGCTTCTTTAATTGAAGTTGCAAAGTATTTGGTAAAAATTACTACAATATTTAATACTAATTTAGTGAATACAATAAATTGTATTTGAACAAAAAGTATTAAAATATCTAGATTAAACAAAATCATATAATTATGATAAAACAAAAAACTAATCAGTAATAAAAGAAGTAAAATTAAATTAAATGTTTAATTATAAAAAAAATATGTATGTATATAGGAAGTGGTAGAAAATATCAACAAAAACAAAAAGAAATTCGATAAAGAGTTCTAAAGAGTTAAAGTAAAAGGGGGTTAATAAAAATTTACAAAATGTTGTAGTTAGTATAAAGGCAGTTTATAAATAAGATATAACATTACATTATAGGACTGACCTAATATTTTGTATAAATATCTCAGTTATAAACTGCTTTAATAGTGAAGTAAAGGGGAAAGTTTTTAGAGTTTCAAATGGTTTGTTATAAGATAATACAAAATACTATAAATTAGTAGTAATTTTGTTAATATTTTTATAAAAAAAACCTGTCTAGGAAGAAAACAGGTTGTAGTTAAAAAAAAAAGAATAGTGAGATGAGAGATTTAAAGTTTAAAGGAATAAAGAAATATAGAAACAAATATTATTATTATTGTATAGTATAAATTAATTGCGACGATTACGTCTGCGGCTAGAACCGGCATAGGCAGAGGTATTCTGTTGTTGTTGCTGGGGATGCTGGCCACTATATAGATTATCGAGGAACTCATGTAAGGACGCCTCACTAAAAGGTTAATTAGAATCATTAGAAATGTAGAATATACAGAAGAATTAATTTGTATTATTACCTGGTTGGTATATTATCACGTTTAAATTTACCACCCATTCCACCTGGTCCGGGATATTGAGATCCTGCATGCTGTTGCTGATGATGCTGTTGTTGTTGTTGCTGGGCCTGTTGTTTCTGTTGTTGCTGCTGTTGTTGTTGCTGCTGCTGAGCACCTCGAACAATACGATACTGTACCATATGTGAATTGGGTTCTAAATGCGCCAATGCTCCTTTTTGACAATTGGCCCATTCGGTGATGTCATAGACTTTACCCTCCATTAAAGCCAAATATTTCCAACGTAAACCCAACATACTAGTTTCAGCCCAAATGTCACCCTATAAGCATAAGGATAAGAAAACAGTTTATCAATATTATGTGAAATGCCGTAAAGAAACAAGTCAGGAAAGCTACTTACTTCTCTGGCCGAGTGACGTATTTTACAAGATGCACATTCACGAGCAGCGTAGTGTGCGCGATCTGTTATTTTACGTGGATGACGTAAACCGCATGTACTACATCTGCAATTGATTAAAAAATATAAAATATTGTTTTACTCTGAGAAGTTTAACTTTTTATACGAGAACTTCGACAATAACAATTTTTAAATCGAATCGAAACATAAATACTTTGTTGTCCTTTTTTTACCTAATAGTGTTGGCTGCTTCTGTAATTTTAGTTTGTAGCTGTGATAACAAATCATGCAGTTCGGTCCAAGCTTTTTCAGCATGTAAAGCCTCCGCTAAACTCTGATCATAGGCAAGGCGATTTTCCTTAAAAAATAATTTGTTAGAAAAAACACTGCAACAATTCAATTAAAATCATTACCGGTTCACCAATTAATTCAAATGCTCTTTGTAAAACTTTAAAAGCTTCTTCGGCCCCAGCTTGTTTATTCTTATCGGGATGTACTAATACGGCAATTTTCTTATAATGTTTACGTATTTGCTCTTGTGAACTATTCGGCGGTACCCCCAAAATACTATAAAAACAAATTAATAAACAATAATATTAATACTTATTAATTATTTAGAAAATAAACCTCTAACCTATAAGCATCCTTTCCTTTGCAATTTAATAACTGATACATAGCTTCCTCACCAGTTGCCGGTAGACGTCCAGTTTTTATCGCTTCGCTATTGGCTTCCGGTGGTTTTTTCTTATAGAATCTTCTCCAAAATGCCCATTTCGATGTTTTCGAAAATTTTGCATCAAACTTTCGACAATAGTTCTTAAACCAAATACCCGGCTTATTCGAATTTTGCTTTAGATCCTTATGTAATTGTTTTGCATACATTTTACCGCATTCATAAGCATATAGTAGACGCTCATAAAGTATACTACAACCGAGTACAACAATGTCATAGACCAAATAGAATAGCCAAGTCAATATCTTAAGAGTGTATGTATACCAGGCTTGAAGAAAACGTTTTGCCAATTCATAGTTACGATTGTTACCGGCGCCATTAGCATACGATGAATTATTCAACGATGAGGAGGCTCCATATGAGCTATTGTTACGACGTTTCGTCGACGAATAGGAATACGATGCATTTGAGTTGTTTTGATAACGAGACCTTTGTTGACCTGCTGCTGATGATGAGTTGCCAGAATTTGAGGATTTTGTAGGTTTACGAGCGTAAGTATTGGTTGTGGAATTGTAAACATTTGTAGATTGTGTTGAGTTATTGGGAGCGCTGCTGCCGCTGCTTTTGGATGTGCCACGTTGTTCGCTATTGTAGTTTTTAGCTGAAAATGGGAAATATATATTAATCGTTTATAAATTTAAATTCATGAAAAAGTAATCCTTACCTCCACCATTATTTTGAATATCTGAATTTTTATTTGAACGTTGTTTTTTCGACTGTTGATTATCATTGTTGATGTTGTTGCTGCTATTGCCATTATTAATATTAAATGTATTGTTTTTGGAATTATTAATTAAATTCTTTTGTATTGTTGTCGCTGATTTATTTGATGATATACCAATATTGTTGTTGCTGCCATTTAAAGTACTAGTGTTGGCATTTGAACGTTTTTGATTATTATTATTTAATTTATTATTTATCATTTGTTGTTGCTGCTGATTTTCTTTATTTTCATGTGTTGGAGATTTTTTTGAAGATGTACGTGTTACTGTTGAATCGTCTCCCAAGCGACGTAAATTAATTGAAGAATTATTTGCATTATTGGAATCGTTTTTGGACGATTTCTGTTGACTGCGTTGATTTGTTAAATTTGGAGCTGTAGTTGATGTTGGGTTAGCACTTGCTGTCATTGAAAAATTGTTGAGATTATTTTGTTGGGGATTTTGAGTTTGATTATTGAATTTACTTAAAACATCCGAGTATGTCATACGCATTGGTTTTACTTCGGCCACAATTCGTTTTTTAGGTGCCTCTTGACGTGGTATTTCAGTTTTAATGGTTGATGATGGAAGTAGTGTTGCAGCAGTAGCCGAGGAGGAGGACGTAATGGTTTGATTTATATTCTCTTGGGAAATGGAGGGATTCAGGTTTAACTGTGGCTGCTGTTGTTGTATGGCAATATGGGCATTATTAAGAGTCTTTTCTAAAGTTGCTTCCTTGCTGTTGCCACTAATATTGTTGTTATTTAGTGACAATTCTGGACTTGCTATAGTGTGAGTAAGATTTTCTAATTGTTCTTGATTACTTGCACAATTTTCAAATTGTGTAAATAATGGTGCTGCAACAGGGTGATTGCCACCAGTCCAATTTTTACTATTATTGGGCATATTATGAATAATCACGTTTGTAGTTTCAGTATTGGTTACTTGATTCGTTTCACTATGGCTGATGTCTTCTGTTGCGGTCATTGTCGGCGGATTAGTGGTGGGCCCTAGCAAAAGTATTGGCGGCATTTCAGCTGTTGGCAGTTGGGTAAAGGTATTGCTTGAAAATAACTCATAACTGTTAAACACTGGAGTACTTGCTGAGTTCGCAGAACCAGTTATTTGACTTTGAGATTGCTGCTGTTGTAGAGGAGCGGTACCAGCTGCTCCTCCCTGAGGATTGACATGATGAAAAGTAGTTGGTTGCCCCTGATTATATTGCGTCATGGGGTTAAAAGAAGTTTCACCTTTCAATGGAATTATACCATTTTCTGGACAATGATAAATTTTCAAAAAGTTTCCATTTCCAACCCTTAAAACAGAATAGGTTTCCTGTGGGCTAGTAGATGAGGGCACCTGTGTTGGGGGCACTGCAGCAGCTGCGGCAGCGTAAGCTGCCTGAGCTTGTATATTGAAAAGAAAATCATTAAATTGTTGTTGCTGTTGTTGAGGAGCAGGTGCTGGTGTTGGTTGGGGTGGTGGTTGCATAAAAGTTGCACCACCCATCAATGGATTTGACCAATGTACAAATTGTGTTGGCGGTGCTGTTATAGTTGTTGCAGCAACTGTCGGATTCTGTGCCGCTTGCTGTTGTAGTACGGCAGTCTGTTGTTGTAATCCTATGTTGCTGTTAGTGCTAATAAACGATTGTTGCTGCAAAGGCATATGAAGTTGTTGCTGCTGCTGCAATTGAGGGGGAGAAGGTAAATTTGGATTTAACCCATGTCCAAAAAATTCTGTTCTTCCAGTTGGGCCATCATTGTGAGATGATGGCGTTGACATTACAAGTTTAGTTTACGTGGTGATCTGATTTTGATGGCCAAATACAATTAATATACTTTTTTCAGCCTTTTCCCTTAGCATGTATTCTTCTTAATACACAAGTTTCTTTTGCTTGATAAATTTTCTTAATTCTAATTTTTTATTATTTTGCTTTAATCAAATTACATATATCACGTTTGTCCATAATATTACAATAGTCTTTAGATGTACTTGTAACTGATGTATAAATTTTCCCGAAAATTTTCAATTTAATAATTAAATTTAATGAATTATTGTTGAAAAAATTAGTTTTTGCTTCAAAAACGCCACTTGGTACGAAAAATAATAATAAAGAGAAAATGTCAAATAGTTTAAACTGAAGTTGGCTGCAGATTATTTGATTTATATTTATACAGTACCTTGACAGATGTCAGTAATACAGTACATTATTCAAAACAAAGAACAGCTGTAGCTTTTTGTATTTTTGATTTTTTTTAAATTTTATAAATAATTAATATAAATGACCAGATTAAAACCTTTAATCTCAGTTATTAGGCCCGGTTTAATTTCATATCAAACCGGTTTGCAGTTACAACAGAAATTGACACAACAACCTAATGAGCCCTTTAAGGAATTTCGTAACTTTTTGGTGCTGCAGGAATTTCATCCCGTTTACACCATAGGCATACGCACCAAAGGCTATAGCGAACAAGATGAAATTCAGTTGCGTAAACTGGGGGCAGAATTTTATCGCACCAATCGTGGTGGTTTAATCACTTTTCATGGACCTGGTCAATTAGTGGCTTACCCACTGCTACATTTAAAACAATTCAAACCCAGTATGCGTTGGTATGTTGCTAGTTTGGAACAAACAGTTATAGAATGTTGCGAAAGTATGGGTATTAATAATGCCACAACAACACAGGATACCGGTATATGGGTAAATGATCATAAAATATGTGCCATAGGAGTACATGGTTCGCGTTATGTTACTACTCACGGTATAGGTTTTAACTGTTGTACCGATTTGTCTTGGTTCGAACATATAGTGCCATGTGGAATAGAAGGCAAAGGCGTAACCTCCCTATCAAAAGAACTTCAACGTCATGTAACGACCACAGAAGCTGCAAATGTCTTACTTAAAACTTTTTCAAAAGTTTTCGATTGTGATGTGGCGGAATGTAATGAACAGGAATGTCATGAATTATTGGAAAACTCTTTAAAAACGTAATGTTATTATAACGAATTGCTTACTTTAAGACCAAAGATATGGCCAATAGAAAAATACACTTTTTTAAATTGTTGTTAATTGTCTTTATTTAAAAATCTCGCTTTATTTAAATTGCACTTTTGTTCTCGTCCATCCGACACTATTTTACCCCTTTTTAAGGCTTCTAAACGGCCCTGCTCTCGTTGCTCCGCTTTACGCAAACGTCTTTCCGTACGCGTTTCGTATCCATTATCAAAATAACGTTCCCTAAAGTCTAATGTTAATGCCCCCTCATTAATTACAACTTCATCTGTTGAATGTTTTGATGGTTCGGAGGTTTTTTCATATGTTAACAAACGCCTGGCAGTTTGACCTGTTAAAGTTTGTTCGGAATTTGAGATCAATATTAGATTCTTATGCAAGGGTATCATTTCATCCGAATAATCCTCTCTGTAAAAATACATACAATTAGTTTTATGATTATTAACAATTTTTACAATGCTTACCTATGATAGGGTAACCAACACACTAATCTACCACCAATTTTTAAGTGACGTGCAGCAAATATTAGCAAATCTTTATACAAATGTTGTAAAGCATAATGTGAGGTAGACGGATAATGGGGCATATCAGGATTGCGCGTGTTATCTTTTGTTACTACTTTATTTTCTACCTTTTCGGTGGATTCTCTTATACCATAAGGCGCTAATATTGGAAATGTGTGACATTTAAGAAATATTTAATTTGACTTGTTAGTGACACTTACGATCCGTAATAATGCTGTCAAATTTGATTCGTTCACTCCACAAAGGATTTGAAAAATCGGCCACCACCACATCCATATAACGATCGGCACAATTGTACTGTTTTAAATTGGATCTTATACTCTCATCTTTTTCACGTACTTTTTGCGTTATACGACTAGGCCGGGCACGAGCATGTAACATCATGAAGTCTATATCAGCCCCCAAAACATAGCCACCAAATTTGGCAGCACTAACCAACAGTGATCCAGTGCCCACAAATGGATCAAATACTAAATCTCCCGATTGAATTAACGCTTGATTGGCCATAAGCAAACTCAATTGAGTATCCATGCTGGTGTTGCCAATAAATTTACGAGTTTTTAAAGACATGTCTTTAATCAAATGCCTTTGGCCATTAGCCAACTATACATGGGAAAATAGAAGTCAAATCAAATGGCATCTATTCCATTAAAAACTTACCCATTTTCCAAACAATATATCTTCTGGCTCATCAGGTACTTGTGTTGGATCTAAACCCCAAAACTCTATATACCACCATTCTACTTGAGGAGTTTTTAAGTTAACATTACCCTCTAAAGGCAAATAATCCATGGTTTCAATTTTCTCAATTTTTTCCTTTTGTGTAAAATGTTTGTTGTACGTTTCCACTGTTATTTTAAATGAACAATCTGTTTGAAAATAGGGTTTTATACATTCCATATTTTGCTGCACATAATCTTTTAAATTGTTATGGTATTGTTTGAAATTTAAGCCATGACTCCAAAGTTCAAAAATGGCTCTTAAACCTATAGATCTGGAGGCAAATTTTAAAGCCGTCTCATCATTTGGAAATTCCACTATCCAAAATGGTTTCTGTTTATAAAAGTAGATCAAATATATGTATTAATAGTTACACTATACATATTTTTTTAAACCTACCAATGAATCCGGGCAAACTTTGCGATATTCCAAGTTAAAAAGTTTTACTAGAGAGTTGAATTCCTATAATAAAAAATTTTAATAAATTAGAAAATATAAATTAATATATCCTAATATAGCTTACGGCTGAGCGAAAATCTACATGTTCCTGGGCAAACCATAATATATATTTCTTCCAATTTTTTGTCATTTTAATAAGCATTTAAAATGTTTATTCGGTATAATTTTTTTTACTTTAAATTTCTTTCACGCGTGCATTTGTTTACATTTTCATTAGTGCTAATAATTTAATGGTTACTTTTCTAATTGTCATAATCTATTCGTAGTATCAAGTTAACAGCAGAGTTGCAAAACTATGTAGTACCATTTATAAAAATTTCTAGAAAACAAAAATATATATTAGTCTTAATTCTAATTATTAGTTTGTATTACTAATAGCAGACGTTAAATTTAGGTTTAGAAAGTATTTTTTTTATTAATTTATAAGAAAAATATTGTTAAATCAAGGAAATGCTAACCAACATGCAAATCTTCTTCCCTTATTTTGTGCCCTAAAAATGCAACACTGTCAAATTTTGTCGTGTCGTCAAAAGAAATGTCACTCGGCCATTTTGCATAAATTTCGACGGCAGACACAATTTCGCCGAAGATTTTTATAAATTTTCCGCATAAAAACGCAATAAAATTGTGAAAATTTTGTGTTAAATTAAAGTTAAAGTGTTATTGTGTGAAAATTATATGAATTAATAATGGCACGTTATACCCAACGACCGGAAAATGCTTTGAAAAGAGCGAATGGTAAGTACCAGTGCAATGATGAACGACTTTTTCGCAAGAAAAATTCCATGCGGACATACACACACATCTATACAAAAAATGATTCGTATATGTGAAAAAGACGGGTGGATGAAGGAGTAACTGTAGTGGTAAATAGTTAAAAAGAAAAAAAAAACCGAAGTAAAATGTCAAATGAACAAAAGAAGACAAAAGAACAACAATGATGTAAATAAATATAGTATAGACGAGTGTGTGTTATTTATAAAATGTGATGATGGCAATCCCAAAAGAGGTTATTAATTGGGGGATATTTTTGTTTTTTGCTTCATTTCAGAATTTATTGAAGTAGGCAAACCTTTGCGTGCCTTGGATACTTTGCAAGAAGTGTTTCGTAACAAGCGCTGGAATTATGCCTACTCCGAGACCATTATTGAGCCCCTCATGTACAAGTACTTGTACTTGTGTGTGGAACTTAAGAAGTCACACATTGCCAAGGAGGGTCTGTTCCAGTACCGTAATATGTTCCAATTGGTAAATGTGAATTCTTTGGAAAATGTTATTCGGGCATATTTGCGTATGGCAGAGGAGCATACAGAATCTGCGCAAGCTCAGTCATCTGCAGCTGTAGCCGTTTTGGAATTAGATGATTTGGATAATATTGCTACTCCTGAGAGCATTTTAATGAGTGCTGTATGTGGTGAAGATGCTCAAGATCGTTCGGATCGTACCATTCTGTTGCCATGGGTAAAATTCTTGTGGGAATCTTACTGTCAATGTCTGGAGTTGTTGCGTATCAATACCCATTGTGAAGCTTTATATCACGATATTGCTCGTATGGCTTTCAATTTCTGTTTAAAATACAACCGTAAAAGTGAATTCCGTCGTTTGTGCGACAAGTTGCGCAAGCATTTGGAAGATATTTGCAAGAGCACCAATCAAACTACCGGTGTGTCAATTACCAAGTTGGAAACTCAACAACTGTGCCTTGATACCAGGCTCTTCCAATTGGACTGCGCCATTCAAATGGAATTATGGCAGGAAGCTTACAAAGCCATTGAGGATATTCATGGTTTAATGGCATTGTCCAAGAAAACTCCTGTTCCTAAAACCATGGCCAATTATTACCAAAAATTAGCTATGGTTTTCTCCAAGGCTGGAAACCAATTGTTCCATGCTGCTGCTTTGCTAAAACTTTTCCAACTGACACGTGAATTAAAGAAGAATTTGACTAAGGATGATATGCAACGTATGGCTTCTCATGTATTGATTGCCACCTTATCCATTCCTTTGCCCTCGGCTCATCCAGAATTTGATCGTTTCATTGAAGCTGATAAGAGTCCCTTGGAGAAGGCCCAAAAGTTGGCGGTTTTGTTGGGTTTGCAACAACCACCCACTAGAGTCTCGTTATTGAAGGAAGTGGTAAGTTCTACATATATAAAATTATCCACAAAAAATTTTTACCAATGCAAATATTTTATATTGTAGGTGCGTCTTAATGTCCCTCAATTAGCTTCGGAGGAATATCGCAATTTGTACAATTGGATGGAAATTGATTTCAATCCATTGAACTTGTGTAAACGTGTGCAGACTGTTGTCGATGCTATCGAAGCTATCCCTGGTGAAAATAATCCTTTAGCACCCTACGTTCGCCCCTTGAAGGATGTCACCATCATGCGTTTGATACGCCAAATCTCTCAAGTATACGAGAGCATTGAATTTGATCGTCTTCTTAACATGGCTTCTTTCTGTAATATTTTTGATTTGGAGAAGTTGTTAGTGGAATCTGTTCGTCATAACGACATGCAAATCCGCATTGACCATCAAAAACGTTGCATTTACTTTGGCACGGATCTTACCGAAAGCCAACGTGAGGATCATCCCGATGGACCCAATTTACAATCTATGCCTTCGGAGCAAATCCGTTCCCAGTTGGTTAATATGTCATCAGTCTTGCATCGTGCAGTTTCGGTTGTTTATCCCAACCGCGAACGTGACCAACGCGCCAAATTGCGCACTCAAATGGTGCAACATTATCATGAAATCAAGAACCGTGAACATCAACGCATTCTTCAGCGTCAAAAGATTATCGAAGATCGTAAAGAGTTCATTGAGAAACAAAATAACGCCCGTGAGGAAGAGGAGGCCCGCCGTTTAGAGGAAGAGGCACGTAAAGCTAAATTAGCCGAGCAAAAACGTCTCGAGCAAGAGAATGAGGAACGTGAACGCAAACGTCACCAAAACGAAATTCAAGCCATCAAGGAGAAGAGCTTGAAGGAGAAGGTCCAACAAATTTCTCAAACTGCTCATGGCAAGAAAATGTTGGAAAAACTCGATCCTGAAAGCATTAAGAAACTAGATGCTGAACAAATTGCAGCTAAGGAATCCGAAGAATTACAACGCGAACGTAAGGAGTTGCAGAACAAACTGAAATCTCAAGAGAAGAAGATCGATTACTTCGAACGTTGCAAGCGCATGAAGGAAATTCCTCTTTTCGAGAAGTATTTGAGCGAAAAAATGGTTAAGGATAAGGAGTTCTGGGAAGCCCAAGAGGCCACACGCATTGAAAATGCTATTGCTGAACGCAAGGATGCCGTTATTCAACAAGAACGCCTTATGCGTATGCATCCAGATC